AGTTGGCATTTGCCAGGCCAATAGCAATCCTGCAGTGAGCACATGCTCTATGCTGGGCACAGAGCTAGTTGTATATCTCTCTCTCTCTCTTTTTTTTTTTTTTTTTTTTTTTTTTTTGACAGGCAGAGTTAGACAGTGAGAGAAAGAGACAGAGAGAAAAGTCTTCCTTCCATTGGTTCACCCCCTAAATGGCCACTACAGCCGGCACGCTGCGCCCATCCAAAGCCAGGAGCCAGGTGCTTCCTCCTGGTCTCTCATGCGGGTGCAGGGCCCAAGCACTTGGGCCATCCTGCACTGCTTTCCTGGGCCACAGCAGAGAGCTGGCCTGGAAGAGGAGCAGCCAGGACCAAACCAGTGCCCCAACCGGGACTAGAACCCGGAGTGCCGGTGCCGCAGGCGGAGGATTAGCCTAGTGAGCCACAGCGCCAGCCAGTTGTATATCTCTTTTCATCCCTACTTTATTTATAAATGCTCAGAGCATTTCAGTGACCTAACAAAAGTCACAAATCAATAAGTAGCAGTCACAGAATTTGAACCCAGAACTCCAAAATTCCCACCTCTTGATCTTCTGCCTTGGAAAGGCAGGAAAGGCTGCATAGGAAGAAGACTCAGATGCAGGTGCAGGACAGAAGTATCAAGGACAGGACATGGCTGGGGAATAGCAAATGGGGAGATTTGCCTGGAAACCAGATGTAGCAGATTGCAAATGGCACCGGGGATCACATGCAGAGAGGCCATTTTAAATTTCATCCTATTTTTTGACATATGGAAAATAAATATATCAACTGTGCTTCTTGGGTATTTGGAATAAGAAAGCTGAAAGATTGTCAGATCTAGACAGTGAATAAGGAGCCCGTGTTCACTTCACATTTTCACCACTTAATCCTTAAATCTTCCCTCGCCCGCCCACACTATGCAGCCAGGGCCAAGGGGCCCTTGGCTCCTCTTACACAGAAACTCAAGCTGCTTCTGTGGTGAGCCACAGCTCCCGGGGGCCTGGCCTCGGAGGAGGAGGAGTGACGTCAGCTTCGGCAGGAGTTTGAGCCGGAGAATTCCCCAGGGACCTCACAATCAATAAGTCTCCTGCCCCGTCTGCCTTCCCTGCCAGAGAAATACATGCACTCCCTGGGTTTTATATGCTGCTTTAATATCTCAGCTTGACACCAAGCTTCACATCCCTTCTCTTCCTGGCCCCACCACCCCATTTCATGGAAGCTCAGCTCAAGTATGGCCAATTTCAACGAATTCCCCCAGGCTAGGAAAGCCATTTTCCATGTGTCTTCTGTGGCTCCTTTGCTTACCAGGGCAGAGGGATTTGGGGACTCTAAAGGACACCTTCCCTACCTCTTGCTAAGGACAGCAGACACTCTTTATCTGTTTTAGATTCTGAGCTTCTGTATGTAATTATTTTTGAGCTGGAATGGAAAGAGTTTAAAATCCACCTTCTTCCTCATTATTTCCAGGGAGGTGTAGACGTGCTTGGGAAACCAGCTGACTGTCCATTCCCCATTCTTTTTCCTGTTTTTGCTTTTCGGGGCCAAGTAGCCTGAGACCCATCTGGCAGGGCAAATGGGAGCCATCATGTGAGCTCATGGAAGGAACATGGGTAACAGTCACTTCCCAGCCTCACGCTCATTACTGGAAAGGAAGATGCAGGAGAATTACCAGGCAGCTCATTACATCAGTGTTTTATTTCCTCCCTGCTCTGGGCTACCCTCCCAGCTTTGCTCTCCTTGCCTCTGGGGCAGAGCTGGACAGGTGACTTTCACAATGCAAATCAGGGTCAGCAGGCTCTCTGTGCAGGCTTTGATCTCCCTGCAAAGGAAAAGGCTGCTAGGGAATGCCACAAAGCTCCAGTCCCTGCTCACCTGCTGTTTCTCTGTGACCTTGAGGGAGGTGGAGGCTGTGGGAGGGCTTTCCTTCCTGCTCTTCAGAGGAGAAGCAGGACTTCATTTGTTAAACTCCTTGAGTTCCAGTCATTGACACCACACAAGGCACTGGAAGGGCTGGAGAGGAAAGGGCATCTTGTTTAAAAGATTTTTATCTATTTAGTTGCTTTTATCCAAAAATAGATTAAGTAGCTAAGTTTTAGAGCAAGGCAAGGCACTGAGAAATAATAGATTTTCTGTCATTGGTAGCTTCTTTTATTGAATCTGATAAAGACTCTGCACACTCCCCTAGTCCCCGAATGTTTGTACTTCCCATAACCCTTATTATGCTATCTGCCACAATGCTGAGTCATGGTTCTACAGTAGGGAAGAAGGACGTGACACAGAGAAAACAAGAGTTCTTCCATTAGGGCACCATAGACCAACAGGAAGGGAAGGTAAAGGCAGTTCCCAACTCTTTCAGTTCTGGGACTCAAGGGGAGAAGAAGGAAAACAGATAGAAGACAGGTAAGGAGAGCCATGACTGTCTCCGTCTCTGATCACTAAGAGTGTGATCACTAATATATGGGTTGTGGGGATCTGAAACAATTCTGTTTCACATATGAGACTCTGGGAGTTCATCATTTCACAAGGTGCTTTCATTAGCTTCAATAAATGTAGACTGGTGAACATAAGTTATTGCCTTGTGGTTTGTTTTTTTTTTTTTCTTATTTATTTTTAGCAGTAAGCGAGGCAGTAAAGTTTAATGAAGAGAATACACCTGAAAGTCCAGGTGGGCATCTCAACAAAGAACTGAGAGCCTACGACATTGTTTTTATCCTTTTCATTGTATTACAAAGTGGTGAAAACCTTGTTAGCGTAAGTACTAACCTATGGACAAGCTTCTGGAAACCTTTGTTCTACACTATCCCTAGGTATCTATTTCACTCTCTACCTAGTTGGATTTTACTTTGTTTATATGTATATGTGTGTGTGTGTCTCTGTGTGTATGTGTACATCCATATATAGATATATGGATCTTTATATGTATAAAGATGCTTGAAATGGAACGATGGTATCTTGAAGACAGGTGTGGCTCTGCTAAGCACTAGAAGCTTTGGACACTAATGCCTTCCTCGGGAACCAATCGCCCTCCTGGAGATTGCGCTTCTCTCTGTTGATCTACTCCCTTTTTATGAACCTGTTCTGCTTATCAATTGCTACACAACAAACAATCCCAAAATGTAGTGGTTTAAAATAACAACTCTCATTGTCTCACTTGTTTCTGTGTGTTGACCACACACAGTTCCTGCTTGAGGCGTTTCACATAGTTGCGTTCTCATGAAAACTGGGGCTAGCAGGGTTTAAGGCTCAGTGGTGCTGCACTTCTACAAAAGGCTCACTCTGCTGGCTGGCAGTGGATAATGGCTGCTGGTTGGCAGTTCAGCTGAGGCTGTTGACCAGGGTAGCTATATGTGGCATCTCAGTGTGGTTTGGATTTCTCCTGGCATGGCAGCTGAGATCTGAGAGAAAACATCCCAAGAGACCCAGATGGAAACTCCTAGGCTTCCTGTGGCCTATCCTTGGAAGCCACACTCTGGCACTTCCGCTGTCTTTGACCAGGTTTAGTTAAGATTCAAGGAGAGAGGATGACGAGAAGGCATGATTACCAAGAGGACTGACAGACTGGGAGGACCCTCTCTGGAGACTGGGTACCTTAGGGCCACTCCTTTGCTCAGGTATAGTTTCTGTCCCCTCATAGCTTTCATTTGCTTATGATCTGTCTTGAAGGCTGCCCCTGGCCTCTCAAGACACTTCTGTGACCCTCAGTTTCTGTCCCTACTCTTTTTTTTAAATTTTTTTTCCAACCTTTGACTGGCTTAATCACCCAGTTTGCAAATTTCAAATTCTTAATGGAAGACTCCATTTGAAACAAAGTTTCACTGTCAATCCTCTTGTTGTTCAATCCCTTTCTTGTCCATCACAGCCAGATTGAGTGGCGCCCAATAGCACTAAACGTAACACCCAGGTGTGATCTCTTATTAGCATCATGGATGGGACACTCCTCTAGGAAACATGTCTGATAAAAAATCGTCTTTGCTTTTCTCATTCCCATTGGATTTGATAATGAGCTGGTATAACTTTAAAGATACTAACCATCCAGAAAGGTCAGTTCTAGTCCCTCTGCCTTATTAAGTCAGGTATTCACTTTTTAGCCTTTAAATCCTGCCACATAATTGTATTAGGACAGCTTTATGAATCCTAGCATTTAACCTCGGCCTTTGTTGTCTGTCCACGACCCAGAAAATACACATATGTCTTGATATTTGAAAAGACCTTGGATTGTAAATTCTAGACCCCTCATTTTAAGATTGAGAAAACAGAGACTTTAGAAATGCATCAGTTCAAAATTCTGTTAAGTGCATTAAGGCAGAGTCAGAAAACTCATTTCCCAGTACTCCAAATCCAGTACTCCTCATCTCACTGATGCCTGTGTGGAAGGGACAAGCAACTTAGGGACCAGTGTAAGTGGACACACAAAACGCAGGTTGACCCATGTAGAAGCCACCAAAAACACTACTCACTTTCTTACAATTTAGCATCCAGGGTTTTCCTTCTTGGTTGGGCTGCTGGTATCCTCCTGACTCTCCCTCTCTAAACTGTATGCAGGTTTCCCTCACTCCAACTTGACTCATCTGATCCACGCTGCCTCAGAATCTTTCATTCCCACCCTGTTTCTCAAAGGGGTAGAGGCTGCCATCTTGGCCCTTCGCTTTAAAACCGTTTCCCATGGGGCTGTAGTTTCTCTGGAGAGCTGGTTAATATTCTGGCCCAGTGACTTCAGCATGAATAAACTTGGGGAGTATTTACTTGGATGGGATTTTTTTTGTCAACCCTACTTTCTAATCTGGGCTGGAGAATTAGGCAAAATGCCTCGAGTTTATCCTGGGAGTCATAAAAATGGGTTCTGCAGAGTGGAATTGGTTAAAAAATAGCTCTCCGTGTGGACTGTAGATGAATGCTGAAGAGCCACCTTCCCGAAGATTTTTAAGATAAAAACCACAATGCTTATGGCTTGTGGGTATGTTAGTGAAAGGAGCCAAGAGCCACCATAAAAAAATGGGGCTCCTGAGACAAACCGTTCCAGAGACGGCCTTGGGAAATGGGGAGTAAACCGGTTCACAGAGAAAGCAGTCAGCTACTAACCAGAGATACACAGAACACCTGCCTTGTAGATAAGCCCCTTCCCTACGCTTGCTCAAGGTTAACAAAGAAAGCTGCAAGGCACGTAGCAACCTATTCCTCTCTCCTAGAAACCCCCTCCCCTAATGTATCCCTTTGACCTAGTACTTTTCCACCGACATTACCACTTTTAGACTGCCATACAAGGCCCGCTACTGAAAATTATCCAATGAACTTACGCCAGCCTATAATATGTTAATTTTGTGGTTTTGCCCTTTAAAAGCTGTGTGAGATAGCTGCTCGGGGCTCCTCTCACTTGCTTGCTGCTTGCAGCAGTAGGGGGCCCATTTGCGCAAATGAAATAAAATTACCTCCTGCTCTATTGCATCGTCTGGTCTGGAGTCTGTGTTTCTGGGGTCGTCACAAGAGGACACCGCTTTTGGGGTCCTACAGTTAGGTGACAGGAAGAGCAAGGCTTCACAGGGTTCTGTGCAGTCTCAGCTCTTAGGAAGTAGAATTCTTCCTAAATATAATACAGAAGAAGATACCACATTTCACAAGAGTGGATTAAAAAAAAATGCTCGAGGCAGATCTGTGTCACTAAGTCCAATCAGTTTCAGGGTCGACATACAAAAAATTGCAAATTCAGCCAATCGTGTGTTCCCTGCTCTATGATTTCTTTTGGCATCTTCCGTTCTTGTTACAGAAGCCCTTTGGCCCTCCTCACGTGGAATGGTGTTCCTTCATTCCATCATCAAGATCTGCTAGACATCCAATTAACTGTATCTGTCAGCTTTTTACTGCTATAATGAAATGCCTGACACATGCTACTTGTGAAGGTAAAAGAGGTTTATATTTTGCCCACAGTTTTGGAGACTAAAAGTCCAAACAGCATGATGTAGATTCTGGCGAAGGCCCCATGGCAGACAGTAGAGCACTTGAAGAGGAAAGATCACACAGCAAACCAGGAACCAGAGAGGTTGGCCCAAATGCAGGCTTTTCTAACAAACATCTCATGGGAATTCCAAAGGTCATGGGACAATTACCTTCCAAAGACACAACTCCAATGACTCTTGGGCCCCACCTCCTAGAGGTTCCACCATCTCCCAGTGACATCATCCTAGGGACAAAGTCTTTAATGCATAGGTTCTTAGAGAACATTTAACATTCAAACCATAGCACTAACCTAATGGGTATGGAATGATGTCCATCAATCAATATGTTAATTAACTTGAGAGAAGAACAACCCTGACATTTCTGAAATTGTCCCAGGCAGCAAGGCTTCTCTCCTCTTTATTCATACTTTGACCCTGGATCTCTGTCTAGAATAGGATCCTGAAGATATTATGGTCTTTGGTGCCAGAAGGACCCATGTTGTATTTCTGATTCAACCACTTTTTAGTAGGGTGATTTTAAGCAGTTACCAATTCCGTAATTTTCTTCTTTATACAAAAAAGTTAGGGTGAACTTTGTGAAATTCTCATTTTGGAAGCTCAACCTAACAACTCCCAGGGTTGTCCCAAGATTTAAATGAGATAATGCATACCAAGTGCAAAGTGTGTGCAGGCGGTTTGTCCCATGACAAATGCCTCTCCAATGTCAGCTCATTCTTTTTGCTTATTCAGTCTATTCCAAGGCAGTGACAATGATATTTCTCTCTTTTTCTAAACACGAAAAACAAGTCACCACCCATTTTCCATGGGAAGTCCCTTTATCTTTCATTCTGTTTGTGGTCCACATGTTGAAATATTGCTCATCCATATAACTGAGAGCTAGTAGGCTGGTAAGATTTCTTTATATTGAGAGTTTTCTTATGGTAACTGACAATGACCTCTCCATAAGCTCCCATTTTAAAAATATTTTCCTCTGAAATATATTGTGCCCCAGAAACTGGTTATTTACACTATGTATGTTCCAGAAATCCTTTGTAATGAACCATACAAATCTATTTGTCCTGCTGCTACTATAATTGCCTATATCTTATTATAACTTAATATGTAACAGATTTTTTTTGGCGAGGCCAGAAGCAACTGAGCATTCATTGAAAACGCAGACGTTGAAGGTTGTCGAGGAGCCAGTGAACCCACTAATTGGATAAAAGGGGGATGGTGTGGAAATTTAATTAAACTGGCATTTGCTCTGGCTGCTGAAAATATTAATCAGAAAATGAGTTGTATGAAAAAAATAAGATGCAAGGGATGACATTAAAAATGCCATCGGTGCCATTCTTTCCAGCATTGATGAGAAAACGATCTTTTCTCTTCCACGAGGTGTTGGTCATCTGTCCACTGAGCTCTGCCGGCAGCTTGTTTGGGCGGAGATCATAAAGCAAGGCGCTTCCAAAGCTGTGAGTTGGAGGGAGGAGTGTGAGATTCTGGATTTGGGGACCAGATGCATCTCTTGGCAGCCCTTGATACAAACATAAAGATAAAATATGTGTCTGAAAAAAAAGAAAGAAAGAAGAAGAAAGCCAGTTCTCCCCCTTCTGCTGAAGAGGTACTTCTCCCAATAGAAGATGAACTGAACATCTGCATCCATTCAAGCAATAATGCTTAAACAATTGTCAAATTTGAGAGGGGTGGATGAGGATTTTGAACTAGACATTTAAATGCATTCCATAGCCCAGGAGCCTTGGAAAGTCACCACCCTCCCTAGGCTTGAAAACAGAGTGGAGGATGGCAAACACAGATGGAAGCTCTAGTGTTTGCTTTAGGAGCCACTCGGATACATTTGTTTATGTGCTCCGAGTGACCTGGGCAGTAATTCCCCTAGAGACCATTGCCACTGGGGACAGCTGGGCCCTGCAGGAAACTGCTAATGGACTCAGCTCAAGATAGAGGAAGATAATTCTTCACTCAGGAGCCCAAAGGGCCAAGAGTTGTTTTTTCCCCCCTGAATTTTCACCATTTGAGCTTAGGCGTCTAGAGGAGCATTTCTGGTCAATGGGATGTTTCAGTTCAAGGGTGCCTTGCGTCAAGATAATCTGTAATGAGAACTTACACATACACAACATGCTTTCTAGTTATTTGATGGGTGCTCACTGGTTTTTATTTATCCATTGAGAAAACTAATGACCAGTGCCAATGTGGGACAATATTTGTGACAAAGGTTATGTGTAAATTTCTACTTCTACGTGACCAGGGGCTTGAGAGCCCCTCCTTCCATATGAGTCACTGCTGACTGGAGCACACTTACCCACAACCTCCCATGTCAAGGCGTCTTGGTCACTTGCCTGCTCTTGTCGTGACCTTGTAGCAAGAAGACACAACAAGCAATTAGAAGGAGAAGGTCTGTTTTTCCTCGGCTTCTTTCAGTTCATCTGAAATTGTCTCTGCAGTAGTTTTTGAGGGCTGCTATTACAAAGAACTAAACTAGGTGGCTTTAAAAAGCAAGCACATTGTCTCATAGTCCTGTAGGGCAAAAATACAAAATCGAAGTATTAATAGGACCCTGTCCCCTCCTAGGGACAAAATGTCCTTGCCGCCTCATAGCTCCTTCGTAAGGGTTTCTGGCCAGCCTTGGAATTCTTTGGCTTGCAGACACATCACCGAGTTTCTGCCTCCATCATCCCATGGCTGTCTTCCCTCTATGATTGTCCCAGAGCCCTCTTTCTTCCTCTTATAAAGATGCCAGTCCCTAGACCAGGGTCCACGTGATCCAGTGTGACCTCATCTTAACTTGATTACATCTGCAAGGATTGAAACAAAACAAGGTCGCATTCACGGGTACTTAGGGTTGTGACTTCATCATATCTCTTTGGAAGATACAATTAAACCCACAACAGTCTTTATTGAAAGAAATGGTGTTATTAAGTATATTGTTTCTATTTAGGTTCATATGCCTATGTCAGCCTGGATTTTAGATAAGATCCATGATAAAAACAAAAATGGAATGTTTGAGCTCCTAATTGTATACTTCCAGTGAGTATATACTTCTATTCTGATCAAATGTATTTACCAAAAATAAGTTACAAGTAATGTAGTACCACAAATTAAAATGCATTTTTCAATTTTTCAACATTTAAAAGGTTCTTAAATCTCTATTTAAAAATCAGTGCACCAATGCCAGCTGTTATTGCTTAATTCATTGTAAGATTATAACTTTTGTGCATTTTGATGTTGAAATGCCCCTTCTATTTTGAAATAATGATGATTGAAAATGGCATTTATTTATTTTCACATTTTTATAATATTCTAACTTGGCAATATAAAATGTTGATAATCATCTGTGAGTCTTAAAACATTTTGGGCTATTTTATTGCCCCATAAAATCCAAAAGTGTGGGAATCACTGTAACAGGAGATATGTATTTTAGTCCCTTATACCTCAAGAGTTTCCTTTATGAAATGAATCTGCTCTTTAATTGAGACCAGCACTAGTTCCATAAAGTTCAGATTTTTATTGTTGTTCTCCATAAAATTTGTTGAGGGATGGGACAAGGTAGGAATTTGGAGATAAACTCAGCACTGACCACAGTGAATCCAAATTAAGAATCTTTAAAACATGGTTGTGGGTCCATATGGGAAGTTAATCCTGGTTTCCAAAAATTCTGCATATTCCCATCTCCCACATCAATAGCATGGTGTCATTTTCTAATTGTGATGCTGATGTCTGCGGAGTAGTGATTTATTATTTTGTTTGCAAAAACCAAAATGCCAGCAGACTCCATTTAAGTAGTCTGAACATCTCTCCCTGTCTGTCGTGAGATCAGAAGGCACAGGTTGGCACCAGTCAACAGGGGTCCTACAAGATAGCAGATCACAGACAGGCTAGCAAAGGGACAAATTAGTCTAAAACATGAATTTTAGAGTTTTTAATGAGAAAAAAAATAGTTCCTAGCTACACAGTTCAGAAGGAACAGCTTCTCCTCATTCAAAGGAGGCTAGGCAGCATTAGACCTGACAGACAGAATTGACTCTTGATGTTGTCATTGAAGGCTTACCCGAGCTCTTCAGAACCCTCAAGAGAGGTTGATTAATTATTGACAGGCAGGACATGAGGAAATGCTGACTGGATTGTGATCTCCCAGTGACAGGACTCAAAGCCAAGAAATGACTTAATAAAGTCTGTCACTCTTTCTAGCAAGTACCTATGGAACGGAAATGGGTTCCTATGGCAAGTACACAGCAGGGAGAGCTTCCTCCTCGGATGTTGAGGAGAATTTTCAAATGAAATTGGGATGTCATTTTCCCAGAAATTGTTTTAGGTCAGGGGAAAGGCAACACGTCTGAGATGGGGAGACAAGTTTTTTCCTAAAGAGGTCGATAGGATAGTCAATGAGCTGTAATGGCTGGGCTAGAAGGTCCTCTTTCTTGCAACAGATGTGTTCCCGTGAGTGCAGGGAAGAAGGACCACAGTATAGGTATAGATAGGCGCACTTTTGTATGGATGCAACTTTTCAGCACCCAGGGTTGGTTTACATTTTGCTGAATAATCATTTCATTCTGAAAAGAAATAGAAAGTATTTCAAGAAGTTCATGGACAAATGGGATTAGGAGAAGCATCTGGCTCCTGGCTTCAGATCAGTGTGGCGCGCCAGCCGCAGCGGCCAGTGGAGGGTGAACCAACGGCAAAGGAAGACCTTTCTCCCTGTCTCTCTCTCTCACTGTCCACTCTGCCTGTCAAAAAAAAAAAGTACATTTCTTTGGGTATGAAAATGTTTGAAACCCATGCATGATTTTGTCATAATATGCATTTTTCACCTATGAAAAAAATGTGATGCCAAATTAAACTCATCCTTTAATTCTGCTTTTCCAGAAGCTTTTTGAAGTACTCTTACATACTTGTTTGGGGCACCCTAAAGTGAAGAAAGGCCTTCCTCATATTCCCCTCTCCTCAGATTCTGCCTAAATCCAGAGGGAAGGGAATTCTATATCCCCATCCTTCACCCCACATGCATGCAGTATCCACCCCAAGGAAGTGCTGCTAGCTCAAGGAGTTGAGCAATGACTACTCCCTGGGCTACCTGAAGCTAGTGGGCCATTTCCTGTGTCAGGCCAGGCTTGGATTTCCTTCACTTTGGCCTCCTTCTGCTACTCGCAGAGGGTCTGGCTTTTGCAAGTAGGCTGGTCTTCCTTGGCTACCCAGATTATGGGGTAAATGAACTCCATGTCTGCTTTGCAGACCAAGCAATCCCTATTCAAGGGGCAAGGAGCCCAGACTGCATTTTCCAATATAATTTACTGGATTTGTCTTAAACTGTGAGGGACGGGAAGTGAAGATGAGAAGGAGAAGGCACAAGCATATTCTTCTATGCACCACCTGAGGCATTATAGTTAGTTCCTTTATAAATACATGCTCCCCCTGAATGTGCCTCCAGGGACCTTTGGGTCTCCAGAGAGACTTTATCTCTCTGATAGAATAAACCTTGTACAAAAGTCATTATTAGAAGAAGCCTGATTTTTGTACTAATATTACTAATTACTTTTCCCAAAAACCTATACTGAAATTTACTTTCCTTACATTAGCCTTTTCAGCATTTCTTGCCTTTAGGATACTGAATAGTAGACACATTCTCTTCTCAATGGTAATGCTGGTGTCTTAGAGAAACACATCATCAGGCTCGCCTACTGAGTTTGGAACTAAATAGGAAGTAGATATGGAGGGCAGTGACAAACTAAGCTTTCAACTTCTTTGCTTATTGATAATAGACTTCCCCTCCCCCACAACAATTCAACTAAAGTGCCCAGGAATTTGCAGATACATGTCCCTTGCAGGAGACTGTAAGTTGACCAGAGGTGAGAACACACATGTTTTGTGGCCAGGGCCCAAGGCCTGCAAGTTCTCTAATTTTCCATATTGGGATTCAAAGTCCTTTGTCCTGAGTAAGTGATGAAGAGAGATGTGGGAAGAAGGCAAGAAGCCATCTTTCATGTCATTTGGAAAAGGGAGAAATTTCTATTGTATAGAACAAAGTAGGAGTACTAGGAGAATAAAGATCTACAAAGAGGAATCTTCTTCATAGAGACATTCTTCTAGAATCAAAACCTTTACCTAGTTTGACTATAGATTGGAAATGGTATAAAGTTTCTGATGTATCAAAAATAAAACCTCCATCCGTATTCTAGTCCCCATAGGCAGGGAAGGGGTGAGGGAATGTATTGTGACCTGAGTTGCTATCATATTAGAATTGGGGGCCTTGCAGTTAGATCTCATGACTTGACATTTCTTGAGTAAATTGAGTATCACTGTCTTTCATTAAGAATGAATGATTGGATAAATGAATACATAAGTCCCCTTTAATTTAGCAAACTCTATTGAATGTCTGCCAAGTGCTAAATTCTATGCTAGATGCTGATACAAAAGTAAAAGACAGAGATTCTGTTCTGACAATGGTCACAAACTAATGGGAAAGAGAAGCACATAAAGTGACAGTAACAAGTGATAAGGCATAATAGTAGCTCAGATTGATTGAGCATTGAATGTGCCCGATATAAGTACTTTACATGCATGATATGGGTTAATCCTCATAGCACCCTGCTCTGGTTTGGATGCTCTTTATCCCCCAAAGTTTCAAGTGTTGAAGGCCTTGTCTTCCATGTGGTGATGTTGGGAGATGTGACCGTCAAGGAGTGGGGCCTAGTGGGAGGTTCTTAGGGCAAATGGGGATATGCCATCCAAAGGGATTGTGGGAAACCAGTCTCTGTCTCTCTCTCTTTCTGTCTTTCTTTTTTGGTGATGTGATTTCTTCTACCCATAGATACTCCTGCCCTGACATGATATGGCCATTAAGGCCCTCACCAGAGCTGTGCTGATGCAGCACCATGCCCTTGAACCCCTAGAACTATGAGCTAAGTAAACCTCTTTTCTTTATACATAGTCTACCTCAATAATTCCATTATATTAATGAAGAATGGATTAATACACAACCATAAAAGTCAATATTCTCTTAATATCTTATTATCCATTTTATAGATGAAGAGTAGAAGGCACAGAGTGATTAAGCAGCTTGTCGAAGGTAACATAGTAAATGAAAGAGCTGGGGTTTGAACCCAGTTTGACTAAAGGCCTGAGCTGCTGATTAATACAGACAAAGGGAGAAATAAGAATAGGCAACTCCAGCTGTACAGAAGAGGGATCCCTAACTTAGACCATAAGGGTTCAAGAGATCCCTTCAGGGGACCCAGGCCCACAGCCTGTTTTCTACAGCCTTTGCTTGGAGGTCACAGGAGCTGATGACCACCAAGAATGGAGCTTCCATTCTTCCATCTGCAAGGTCCAGGGAGTCTGTGTATCCCCCGAGAGCCTCTTGCCTTGTCCTCACTTCCCTCCCTTCTGCAGATGGGCCCAGGGACTTGGCCAGTGGACCCATGTTCCTCTTCCTGCAAAAAATACCCCCCAGGGTAATTCCATGTCTCTTTGTTGGGAATCCAAATATGAGTCTTTTTTCCAGCCTTAGTCACAAAGAACAGAGTTTCATGGGTGATTTTGGCTGCTTCCTAACTAATGACAAACTTGTGAGCATTGCCCTGCTGTGGAGTCAAGTGTAGATTTTTTCTGATTAGATCAGCTCCATACCCTTGTAAGATGTGGGCCATGCAGCAAACTCTGGGGAGTCTCTCATCCTTCTGAGACACTTTGGAAATGGGCTGGGAACACTCTGAGACATTCCATTCAAGTCCTGCCATAGACCATGTGTGTGGAGTAAATGTTCTGTCCTGACACCCATAAGTGACAGATGTGGTTAACATCTGTGTAAGGTCTTTGTCTGCTCCCATCCTGGCTTTCTGGAATCTGTGTAGACCAAAGCAGATCATTCTTCCTAGGACTCACTTGCTCCACAAGACTTTTCCTCAACACTGAAGTAGAAAGTGAGCTAGCAAGGAGTCAGGGCTTGCACTCCCTTTTCTCTATTGACAATGACAGAGTGACCTTGTACAGCAAATTTATAGAATTACTGGGAAGGTAGTGATGTTAAGGGCTATCTCACTTCATTGTCAGCTCCCAATAAGGAATGTCAATGTTATTGTTGTTAATAGTTATTTAGCTATTAAGTGTGAGGAAATCATTTTTTATAAGCACCCTAATGTGAAGGCACATCTTTATCCTGCAGAATTCCCTGAA